CATTATGATCACTCTGGAATCCAGTATGAGGATGGTGTGCTGCATTGTTGCTTCGAAGAAGTAATGTTGAGGTCGCTCCGATTGCCCTCGTTTTGTTTGTTTTTTCTTCTTTTGAGTTTAGAATGTGTACTTTCTTTCATAGAAAAGGGTTTTCATTTAGTTGGTTGCAGGTTTACTCCAACTCAACACCTAATGACATGTCAAAATGCGATTTGACTCGAAAAGAAAATCCCTTCAAGTCCAAACACACTGAAAAATCACAAATTAGTCTCAGTTTGGACTCAACACCTAATGACGTGTCGAAATGCTGCTTTGTATGTAGACCTGTTCACAGGGTGAGGCGGACTTTGCCTTTATTTTAATAGAATATGCTCAGGCCCGAGCCCCAAGCCTGGCCTAACCATCGGGCCTAGGTCTTGAGCTCGAGCCCAACTCTCATATAAAGCCTGAATCTCAGGTGTGAGCCCGAGCTTGACTAGAAATTTGGAAAAAAAAAATTCTTTTTTATTCAACTAAAAACTATTTTATTTATATTAAAAGACTTCAGGACCTAAAAAAAATAATGAAAAATTGCACTATTACTTGAAAAAGAGAAGAATAATAAAGAAAAATTAATATATATATATATATTATAAAAAATATATTTTTATTATATAATATATTATCAAGTCAGGCTTGAACTTGGACTGGACTTTTTGAGAAAGCTGAGCTTGGGCCAAAAAAAAAATGGGCCCGATGTTTTAAACCCGAGTCCAAGCCCACGGACCTGAAAATCCTGTCTAAACCCGACTTAGATTGAACTGGGCCGGGCCAGGCCGTTGGGCTACCTGGCCCATGAATAGGTCTAATCTGTAAGTTGGGTAGCAATCCAAGCTTGATAGCCAATCCCTATTCCATACTTCCCCTTGAAAAATCACACGGTTTGGTCCAAGTCAATATAACCAGTCAAAGAACTTAACAATTGAGCTAGTTGGCAGCGTTATATGGGTAAAAAGGGAAAAGATGTTTTGAGCATTTGACGAGAATTGCTTACAAAAGACATTAATACTCTGAATTTAAACACTATAACCACAAAACATAAAGCCTAAAATTAGGATTTTGTGTTTTGGGCTTTTGAAGCACAAACCATGAAATTAATACAAACACGATCTAAATTAGGTTTTATTTCTGATTATTGATAATTCACTGTATCTAAAAGAATAGGATCAACACCAATTTAACATCTTGAAAACCGATATATCCAAATTTTTATAAGAAAAAATCACTACATTTACGCAAAAATATAATATACAATTAGGGCTATAACTGAATCAGATTCAGATTGGATTAAGTAAAATCTAAATCTAATCTGATTATTGAAAACTTGTATCTGAATCCGTTTTCAAAATCTGTTTTGATGAATACCTCGGAGTCGAAATCCTAACATACTCGTATTTGATTCGGATTTAATTTGACTCTATTTTAATTTTTTAAAATATAAAAAAGTTAAAATGTTAATTACTTTTCAACTTTTATATATAATATATTAATGTAAATATACATATCAAATTTATTATATATATATATATATTTTAACATATAATATAATATATAAAATATATTTTTATAATTTTAAATATAATTATACAAGGTTTATATATTAAAGTCAATAAATATGATAATATAATCATATTCAAATTTTAATTGAATCAGATAGAGTCAAATTCAAGTCCAATCCAATTATTTAATTGAATTCAGATTGCAAAACCTGAATTTGATCTAATTGCATAAATACATCATCCAAATCCAAAATAATCAGATTAAATGTTGGATCGAACCACAGAATTTTAAGTATCATTAACAAGCCTATATACAACTTATTCAATACATTTTTGTAATGAATTTCCACAAATATATCATTCAAAGATTTGTCCTCCTGAACAATGAGCCGTTAAAGTAAATTTCTTAAACATAAATCAAAATATTTACCAACTTTAATTTAATTAGATCCGGTAACTCRTGAATTTTCCAAGCTAAATACAAACTTCAACCCTGGAAAGTATCAACCGCATTCTTGGCATCCGAATACGCAACTAGAAATTTCCATCATTGTTTAGCAAAAAGACCAGCTTTCAAAATGACACACTAGGTTCTGCTTCCATTGGATTATCCACAACTCAGAACATCCGGCCCGATTCAGAATACTATATTATATCATATAGATAGGGGTGCAAGTTGGATTGATCCAAAGTAATATTTTACACTGTTTCGGGCTTGAACTTCAGGTTGGATTCATTTAAACTTTGACAAAAGCCCAATCTGAACCTACCCATGTCACCCATAAATTTAGGGTGCGAGCCCGGCTGGCCCCCTGTCCGGCCATAAGTGTTAAGCCCGGCCCATGACCAGCCCAAATAATAACTAGTAGCTACTAGAGTTGAAAACAATTTCATGGCATAATGATGTTTGCAGGGATAAGCATTTACACCCAGATCGGCATTTCTCGACTTTTGTTGGTCTAAACAGAAGTTCTTCATCCAAGCTTGTTCTGGCCCGGATTTAATATAGTACGTATACTAAATACGGGGGCCAGTATTCTGATTTTTTTTTTATTTATGTATTTTAATAAAATTTGCTTGACACCCTTTTTGTAAATTTTGTTTATTATTTCATTTGTTTTTTCACGTATAGATTATTATTTAATTTAAGAGATTCAACAAAAAAGGGTAAATTTTTTAAACTACCCTTATGGTTTAGCTAATTTACTAAGTGTATCTTTACTATTTGAAAAATGACTAACGCTATCCCTATTGTTTCTATAATTGACTAGCTCTGCCCTTACCGTTAAGGTCCGTTAATATTCCATCAAAACTCATTTGCACGTCATATATATATATTTTTAAATCCAATTTTACCCTTCACCTCTCTCCCCTTCTTTTTCATCAATACGAGGATCCTTGTAGGAGACGATGGCTTTGTTGTACAGGTGGCAAGAGATGGGGTCCGTTGCAACGATGGACCCCAAAGTCCAAACTACCACAATTGCATCTCTCTTTGAATTTGGAGTTATTGGAGGAGTTCCAATGGACAAATGATTTGGAAGTGGACTTTGGGGTTTCCGACTGGGCACCGGAGGTTCCAACGGCGAAGGTTGGCAAGGGCAGTTCCAGTAATGAAGGTTCTAGCGGTTCCAATTTCTTTTATTCTCTCCCTTCTCTTTCCCTCATTTCTCTCTTTTTCCCTCTTTTATTCCCGTTGTTGTTGCCGCTGGCTTCCGGTACCAGCAGCGGTCTTGGTGGAAATGAAACAGACCGGTTGGCCTTGCTAGCCTTCGAGGGTCGAATAACACAGGATCCTCTAGGGGTTACTTGCTTGGGTGCTCTGGATTGATTGGTTGCTTCACCTTCTTTAGATTGCAGCTTTAGTGCTCTGGTTTTAGTCTTGATGAAACAACCACCTTCATTTTTCGGAGGCTTTTGCTGTGGAACTGAATCTCTCTCCAAATGATGACGACGATGAGTTTCTTCAAAAGCATGCAACTTTATCTCTAGTTGAAAACAAGCTTGAATGTAATGTAGTGTAGAATCTCTCTCCAGATGATGACGACGATGAGTTTCTTCAAAAGCATGCAACTTTTGAAAACAAGTTCAAAAGCATGCAACTTTATCTCTAGTTCATGATCATAGTAGTGTAGAGGTTTCTCTGACCGAACTGGTATACAAGTTCGAATCGGTTTTGGCCTCTACGTCGTGAAACCCAATGACCTCGACCTAACTCAGTAAACGGACTCTGCTTCCAAAGAAGAAAACCCACCTCCGGAGCTAGAATTTGAAGAGCATGAAGTGGAATTGAGGAGTATGGAATTTCGATCATTCTATAACTTGAGGTAGGGGAACACCATTGTCTTTCTGCATTTGGTTCTCCAACTTTCTGATCTCCATGTACCATTAAGTCTGCATGTGGGAAGGAATTTGAATTTCATGTTGAAAGGTTTAGAAATAGAGTTCTGGCGTTAACAACTCTACAACGACATTTCAAAGACGGGGAAGGTCATGTTTCTCAAAAGGGGTTGGGGTGTACTCTGCACTGGGTTGTTCAATCCCTTGGATATGACAAGCTTATACCCAATTAACAACTCTGCATTGGGTCAAGTAAAATTCACCACCATTTGGGGTGAGGGGAAGACTTGCTCCACAAGAGGATTTGAATTCGCCGGTTGTGTTGAATGGCGATGGTTTTGCTCGACAACCCCTCTGCACCCAGTTAACAACTCTGCAATTGGTCAACCATATTTGCCCAGCTCCAAATGTGTCCTCATAAATGTGATTTGGGTTTTGATTTCCTTTTTCTTTGCTCTATTTTAAAATTTTGAAGAAGAATGAAGGGTAAAATAGTCTTTTTCGTTGTTCTATTAATAGGTGTTAACTGTAAGGAAAGTTGTAATCAATTGTCAGAAACAATAGAGGTAGTGTTAGTCAATTTTCAAACAGTAAATGTACACTTATTCAATTAGCTAAACTATAAGGATAATTTAAGAAATTGACCCAAGTTTTATTTATAAATAATAGCCATACATCATTTAAAATGAGTTTTTGTTTTTTTTTTTCCTTTTCTACTGAAAGTAATTACCATTCGAGTGAGTAAATACATGTTTGAGAAAGAAAGCTTTTATTTAAGAGTAGAAATAAGTAAATAAATAAGATGCTACTTGTATGGGGGAGAAGCTCTTATTGAGGGCTCTGTTTTAATAATAGCCCACTTTGTGGATATGCATATATGATATAAAATATAATACTCATAATTTATGTATATATATTATAGTATATATGATAAAATTTCATATATAATTTTCTTATTTTTGAATTAAAATTTAGATTAAATTTTAAATTAAAAAATAATTTCATTGGCTTGTGCAAAAGGCCCCAAACTGTAAAGTTTGGGCCCAGGACCAGCCCCATGATCACCCCCAATTCATTCTTTTACCCACTTTTACCAAAATCCGGGACGTGCCCAAATCAACCCTCCTCATATATATTTCAGCGTTTACAACCCTAAACCCGCCTCTTTCACTTTGCATTTGCTGTTGGAAGCTCCGAAGCTCTGATCGGAGAGCCCCAGCAGAAAAATGGTATGTCATTACCCATCTCACCTCTTATCTTTCTCTCCAAACGTGAATATAGAATTCTTGTGTCTGGAATCTATTAGATTCACAAATATGACAAATAATTTTATTGTTTTTGAGTTGGTTATGAGGTTTTTCTAGTTTCTTCCTTGATTTGTTCCCTGGGAGAGGTTATTATTCTATTGGTAGTACCGTTGTGTTAGTTTCTAGTTGATTCGATTCTTATTGAAAGAGTTCTGACTTCTGAGGATGGACTTCCCACAAACGTCTTCTAGTACTTAATGTTGGTCCTCTGTTAATGGAGAAACACTGCATAGATACCTAACAATGATCATATTTGTGTTTTACATCGTGTGACTTCTTGTGAAGAGATGAGCTACTTTACCTGGGCTAGATAGGGATTACGAGTATCTGTTTAGATGTTGAACTGGTTCAACTCCAGAAAAGCACTTCGATGTGTTTACTTATGATCTTGTGTTGAGACAAATGTCTTGCAGCTTACCAATTTGTGATTTTTGGACGCCCATTTGTTGATAAGTTTTTAACCAACTGGTACTACCTTTGCGTTCTTGTTCTAACTTGAATTTCTCCTCATTAACGGCCAACCTTGTTTTAGGTTTAGTTAATCTATGGGGAAACTCAAAGTAAGTTTTGTTTAAACCTCATAGCAAGATACTGATTGGAATATAGGAAATTTTACACCACAAATAATGCAATGCCTTTTGGAAGTAGTTGGAGATTTCCCAAATTTCATATGTTCTTACATCACCAAATAAGAAGGGGATTTATTTTTGTAGCGAAAGAAAAAAAAAAGAAGGGGGTTTATTCGTTCATTTTTTTTTTCTGGGGATGTATATTCATGGTTGATCACTATTATGTTCAATTGCTCCTATTAGGCTAAAAAAACCTAGGGTTGCCCAGATTTTTCTAACTCTTTTAATGGGGTTGTGAGTTGAGGAAGTACTACGAAAACTTATATGTTAGAGCTCTTTTCTTGTTAAAGATGAAATATGCAGTCAATCTATAAAATGGACTTTCAGGAATTAGGGTCTTAATGAAAACCAGGGGAATCCTTCTTTCTCAAATTTTTATATCTTCATCTTTTTTTTTTTTCCTTTTTTTGTTGCCAAGAAACACTTCTTGGATTCTTGGATTTGTCAAATCAACAGATCTTGCAGACAAGTGTCTGTTTCATGTTTTGTTGATAGAAATCGTAGTGGAGGAAGTTATATGGTATTAGATAAGTGTGAACTTGAAATTGATAGGATTCCATTACATTCGGGATTGAATACCAATAAAATTGGTGCAAACATTTTTAGAAAGTAGGTGAACATGTGTTTTGGAAATTTCCAGAATTTAGTGTTTATTTTTTAAGTCTGATTTTGTGAAACAATCTTGACTAGGTGCAATAAATGAGAGCGGTAGAAGTCTAGCCAAAAAATGCATCTATTAATGTAAAGATATCCCGTTGAGTTGTTTGGATGGTCTCCAGCTGATATGCCAAGAGCATCCATGCAGTTGATCTTAACAAATATTTAAAATAAGGGGCAACCTTGTATAAAAGTATTAGATTAAACAGGATAAATTAAACTCTCCCGTAGTCCCATTTGAGTGGTCAGTGGACAAATGCTCGGAAGTTGTTTTCTCTCTTCTGAAAGAGAAAACTTGATAAATGCAGGTATGGTATTTTCATGTTATTCTTGTGTCCTTGCTTTGTTTTTGTTTTTAATAATAAAATAAAATTTCATAAAGAAAAATGCAAAAGCATACACGCATATATGAGCTTTGCATCCCAAGCACCAACATAATGCCCATCTGACCTCCATGTTCACGACACAACTGAAATACAAAGACCCTGACTGCCATGTACCAAGTAAACCTACCCTCCCTTCAGACATCTACATCAACAATGCCTCACAAGTCACAGCTATTTCTCAACAAACACATCAACTTTCAGATTGTGTTTTTGCTTTGGTTGCTGAATCATAGGTTTGGCAAATTTCCAATCATTTCCATGGATTTGATTTTGTTCCTTAATTCCTCTTTAATCTTCAAAAATTTCTCTTGTATTTCAGGCTAGAGGATTGAAGAAACATCTGAAGAGGCTCAATGCCCCAAAGCATTGGATGCTTGACAAGCTTGGGGGTGCATTTGTAAGTATTTCATTTGATAAATGCTTTTTCTGTCTGTCTATTTGTTTTCTGAATGTTAATTTGACATGCTCTTTTTTTAGGCACCTAAACCATCTTCTGGACCCCACAAAGCCCGGGAGTGCTTGCCATTGATCCTCATTCTGCGAAACCGGTTAAAATATGCTCTTACATACCGTGAAGTTATTGCTATTTTAATGCAAAGGCATGTTTTGGTTGATGGAAAAGTTAGGACAGACAAGACATATCCAGCTGGTTTCATGGGTAAGTACTTGCCAACTACTATACTCTGTCCTTAGAGCAATTATACATTAAAGGACTACCTTTTCTATTTTTTCTCTTTTTCTGATTTAATACATGGATAAGTTCCCAATCTCATGGAGTGCTTGCATCAAGATTGTATTGAAGTCATCCTCCATTCCCCCTCGATTGTCTTGTAACTGTAAAACATGTTGACATATTTTTTATTTATTATTCTTCTTCCCATGACAGTTCTCAGATACTGTGTGGTGTGGATGTGGCTATCATTCAGTGGTTTCTCACAAGGAGATAAATTGAGTTAGACATTTCATAGTAGAACCCACTGAATTGTGGAAATGAGAATAACAAGTTATGACAGCATATCTGGTAATGAGTGTTATTGTTTTTGGGAAGGGTCAATAATCCTTTTATGGAACCAACAGATTTGGCCTAATAGGTCAGTCAAAAGATGACTGCAGGTTCTTATAGAATGTTGTGATTCATCTTGAAGGATTTGATGAGGTTTTACATCACCTGGAAATCTGATTCAGAGTTTCATTTGGATTTGGGAGTTTGGAGTAAAGGCATCTATGGACATCGATAGCATTTTCCAGTGAGAAGTTGCACTGGTACAGGTTAATGTTCTGAAAAGATGATGCCAAAAAATGTTGAGAAAAGAGTGGAAGGTCAAAATGGATTTTGTGAGAAACGATTTGGGGTGCACAACTACATATTAATGAAGTTGGAGGATACTGCTCTTTGACAATGTTTCAGGTGAGAAATAGACTTCATGTTGGCATCTTGGGACATCAAATAGTCGTGATGGGGCACAAGTTTAGGTGTATTCAAGCTGAGAAATGCCCAACCGGGATGGCTTGATTAGTCTGGTAAAGAATTCCCACTTCAGATGGTGATGACATTAATGATGAGTTTCAAGAGGAGCGTATTGATACTAGCTGATGGTTTCAGAAAGAGGATGGAGGACAAAAATGGTCATTGTCCAATGTTGGTCCCAGCTATCTGGGGTCTTGGGAGGGGTGGGCTGGATACAGACCTTGGATACTTTTTTGCACAAAGTGGTCACTCACAGGGTTAGACTCAAATGTGTATTTTCACACTTGTTGGTCCAAGATTTTAGCTATAGGTACTTAATATCCTTCTCTTTTTTTATTTATATTTGTTTAGCATTAAATTTTGCTTCTCTTTGTGGTTTTCATTCACAGATGTTGTGTCAATTCCCAAGACAAATGAGAATTTTCGACTTCTGTATGATACAAAGGGTCGTTTCCGCCTCCATTCTATCAAGGATGAAGAGGCAAAGGTATGTTGTATTTTGGACACGTTTAAGATTGTCTAAGAGACATTGTTGAAGATCTTGAAGCAAATTAATTTGCTTTGTTGTAGTTCAAGCTCTGCAAAGTTCGATCAGTGCAATTTGGAGACAAGGGAATTCCCTACCTGAACACATATGATGGTCGTACAATCCGCTATCCAGACCCCCTCATCAGGGCTAATGACACCATCAAGATTGACCTTGAGGCCAACAAGATAACAGATTTCATTAAGTTCGATGTCGGAAATGTTGTTATGGTGACAGGTGGAAGAAACAGGGGGCGTGTTGGAATCATCAAGAACAGGGAGAAGCACAAGGGAAGCTTCGAGACTATTCATATTCAGGATGCAACAGGCCATGAGTTTGCTACTCGTCTAGGGAATGTTTTCACCATTGGCAAGGGGACAAAGCCATGGGTGTCTCTTCCCAAGGGCAAGGGTATTAAGCTTTCCATTATTGAGGAAGCAAGAAAGCGCATTGCGGCAGCAGCAGCCTCGACCGCCTAAATCATTTAATGTAGTAGGTTGGCATCAGTGACTCTTTTTCTTTTAGATCTTTAGTTTTGTTCTTTTTAATATCAATATCATATCTGTAGTTTTTGTTCTGTTGCTGAGGATAGATTTTTATGTGGGGACCTGGTTTTTGCATGGCTGGGATTTGGGGTTCAAAATTTTGTAGTTTCACATTCGATTTTTGAGAGCTTAAATAATTTTCCTTGCTATACTCTCTTGAAGGTATTATGAGGAGAATTTTGCCTTTAGATCCTTGATTGGTCTCCATTGGGTATTAACGATCATATTTATTATGTTTATAGTGCTGGTGTGGAACCATCCATCTAATACTTGTCTAACTAAACTATAATACCTTCTCTTTGCAGTCGGAAAGGCATTTTTAGTAGAGTCTTGTCTCCATTCCTAAGGTTTACGATCTTTGAGTCATTTTCTGGGTATCTATGGTTTATGTTCTATTAAATGTTTTTAACTCAAGGCCGACCTGGCTCGTGAGCCGTTCAAACTGTCACCCAGCCTTGATTTTGGTCTGATGTTTGATCCGAAAACTGTCTGATCCAGGCGGTTCAACTGTTGATTCATTCAACCCAGTCACCAGGTAGCGAGTTGCACACTCAATGTATATGTATATTTTTTGAGACCATAACTTGGCATTTTGATGTCTAATTGAAGTGATTTTATTTTTGATTTTTAAGATCTAATAGTCTTACACCAAATACCCTACTATTTTTTTGTCAAAAAAAAGCCCTTTCTTGGGCCTCATTGTAAAAGTTAACATTTTTAACAAATAAAAATAAAAAATGAATTAAAAAATTCAAATGGTATATTCACATATATTACATCTCAAAAATAGCTGGTTGAACTATACATTCGGTTGCGTTGAATAGTAAAAATATTTAGACTCGACGGGGTGTTCAAGTTGATTATGATATGTTAAGTTAAATTAATGTGACTTGTATAATTAACTTATTTAAAATAAATCGATTAAGCTAATTAATTAGGTAATTTCACAAGTAGAGAGTCGGATTAAAGGATTGCATGTTGGGACTGGGACTTTCTAATTATGGGAACTGTTTAGAGAGAAGGGAATTGTTCACATAGTGAATTTATTTGTTTTCAAAAATTTATAAAAACTCCAAAATTTTGAGGGGATTGGAAAACAAAGGGAGGAGTGATGTGGACACGGTCGGTGTAAAAGGATGCCCATGTTATATTAAGTTTCATGACTGCGAGAACCTCCTATTGGAAAACAAAGGGAGCAGTGATGGGACTTTCGTCTATAGATGACGAACTTCCAAATTCAACATTGGTCAGTTTGTGCAATTAATCTGCGAGAACCTCCCATAATTGGGAACACATCATTTCAACCCAAGTCAAAGATATGTGATGAATAATATAAGGTTTGAAGCTATATGTCATGACTTTTCTGCAGGATAGTGTCTCTGTTTGTTAGCAGTGTAAATTCGAATCAGATACAAATTTTGCGCTTCAGATTTGCAATGTTTGCTTCTAACCATGATTTGAATTCCTACCTAATGCAAGTTTGCACTTTTTTTTTTGTCAAATTTGTACTCGTTAGTGCAGATTTTGCATCTCAAAAACTGATGCAAAATGTGCAGCACCTTCCTTGTACCTTAATTGTTAATTCTACCCATTTCATTTTACTTCCTATTCCACTCAAAAAAAAAAAAAAACCTCCCCACCTTCATTCTCTTTCAAGTGGGGCCACATCCCATCTACTCCTCTCAAACAAACAAATAAGGTCCAATCTGAAATAAAAGTAAACCAGACGCTCAGCCTATTTTCAAAGTTTTACACCATTGCAATTTTCATTTGCATTGCCAAAAAAACAGAGCCTTATTTTCATTGAATCCCGGTTTGCATGCCAGATAAATGCTAGATTCATGTTTCTAGACATCTCCCTTACCATCATTTGGTAAGCTGAACTCTTTAGAAGTACTATTGTACAAATGAAATACTAAAAATTACATAGTTTAAACTTTGAAGTAGTGAGAGAAGACTTGATGACCTATTGTTTAAGAAATGGGAGGCCTTGGTTAGAGGAATGCAAAGAAGAGTTCATTCATGTAGCTAATCCAAAATAGTTGGGAACTTGGGATAAGGTTAACCTATGTTTAATCTTTAAGAAACTCCTACTAGAGAGAATTTAACTCGTTTCTAAGTCTCTGTCAAACTAAAGTTAGTGATTCAATCATAATTACCTTCAAATTGGTAAATCTTTTCTTGAACACGAACATCTTGGCATGTAGATCTTCAGCAAGCTTCAAAATTCTCTACAAAGAACACGTCCATGGGTCACAAGCTATTGAATGATTACACCTTTAATCACATTAAACCAACAAAAGGTGGACCAAGCAAGTGGTTTAAACCAGTGGAGAATTCATTATACAAAAAACTTTCGTTTAAAATTTAACCTTCAAAAACTATGTTTTTAGGCTTGTATCTTCTTGCCCAGATAAGGTGACTGACAAAATTGAGAGTGTTTAATCCTGCCAAAACCCAAAAGAAATAATCAAGGTGCCCTTCATTCAAGTTAGCAGGTATCCAGCCTGCCCTTCCTCCTTGTGTAGTAACCGAAGTGACTAATGTAATAGCAAGAGAACTCAAGTAATTGCCTCCAGATATTGTAAGCAAGGAAAATGCATTACATGTACTTTTCATGGTGTTAGGTGCCTGACCATTAAAGAACTCGAGCTGTCCAACATAAATGAAGACCTCTGAAACACCAAAAATAAAATATTGTGGAAGCTGCCATGCTATGCTCATGGTTTTGCCATACCTTAGATATTCCAACCTTTTTTCTTCCACCAATGCAGCTGTTGACATGGCTAAGATCATCAGTAGATGACCAACTCCCATTCTTTGTAGCTCTGAAAGTCCTTGTCCATTTGATATAAATTTCTTCCCAATGTTAACAAGAAGTGTGTCATAGATAAAAACCCATAAGATGACAATAAGGACTTCAAAGGCAAAGAGAGAGGCAGGTGGGAATGAGAAGCCTCCAATCTTTGTTTCCATTGTGCTGCCTTGTTCAATGAATGTGGTGCTCATTTGGGCATAAGAAACTGAATATACAACGCCACCCGCCCAAATTGGGAGTAAACGGAGAAGAATCTTTAGCTCCTCCACCTGAGACACACTGCAGAGTCTCCAAGGACTTGGAGAATCAGTACTATTTGCATCTGATTCTGACATTGTAGCAGCTTTGTCCAAAAATCTGGAAAGACATTTTATTACCTTCTTTTTATGTAAGAAATCCATGGACTTAAAAATACATGCTCATGAGCAATTTGTGTCTCATTGTAAGTAGTTCTCGACCATTAGAATTGATGTAAGAGGGAAAAGAAGGATAAGGTACCTGAAGTCATTAGTATAAACTAATTTCCAGCTTTCCTTGGCAATCGAGTTCTTAAATGGGACCTCATGTAGGAGACTGTTATCAATGGGGACTTCTATGTTTGCTTTTCTCAGAGCTGCAACCAGAACTTGGAGAATTCTTTTTAGGGGACTCCCACCTGGTCTTTGTATCCTATAAATTGGTGTCCCATATAGAAAGGTTCCTATTGCTAGGGCCATGAAGAATGTAGAAATTCCAAATCCAAGTGCCCAATCAACATTCTCTTCAACCCAAACTAAACTTGTGCTTGAAATAAGAGCACCAATGTTGACAGAGAAATAAAACCAATTGAAGGACTTTTTCTTTTCTATTTCAGCTGAATTTCTATTCTCAAATTGGTCTGCACCTAAGGGCAGCAGAGACGAGCCAACACCTCCCCTTCCAAAGGCAATGAGATATAAACCGAAGAGGAGCACTAGCTTTTGAGCTTCAATTACACGAGGGCAGTGATTTCTTTCACAGAGGACAGGCTTCAACAATGAAAAGGCAGGCAGCTGAGAAAGTGACAGTTAGCATCCCCTGTTTAAAGATATGAAAGACAGAGAAATGTAGTTATACTCCCCTTCCAAGGGAAACGGAAATTTTATGCATTCTTTGGACACTGATCAAGAAAATGGTTGGAAATTAATTCATGTGAAGCTGTAAATTTGTCTAGTTAAGTAAATTACTAGATTGGCTAAACCATTTAAACATAGGACATGATTACTGTGGTAAATTCAAGAATTGAATTGCACATATAGTGAATTTAACTCAAGCATACAAGAAAATAGACCAATGCGAAGACCAAAATGGTTTTGTATCTGCCCCAGTGGGAATCAGCTATAAGAGCTCCCAAGAAGGGTGCAAGGTAGCCAGTTCCAGTCCATGTGCTGATGCATGTTGCAATTGATGCATTTCTTTGATGTAAGATCTTGCTGAGGTAAACGACCAGATTTGTAGCAATGCCAAAATAACCCAAGGCCTCCAAGCATTCTACTCCTGTGAATTCAATGAAATTATCAATATGACAAGTATGTGACAGAGGCATTTCTTATTTCTTGTTTATTTTTGATAAGTACAACCTTAGTTCTTCTTAACAGATGGAGGAAATAAAATGCAAGAAGTAACAGATTTCTAATTGAAAAGATGATCTGTAGAGAGTTTGTTGCAGACTATCCCCCTTGTAACTACTATAATTTCTTTTGGACTCCCTAGTCCACTTGCAAAGAAATAACAATTTTCTCAATATTTGTTTAAATCTTGAATGAACTCCATGGCAAGTCTGGACATTCCAACAAATACAATCCAAACAAGAATAGTCAGGCAAATTGTGGAAATAAGATAATGAAGAAACTTCCCCACTTTTTCTGACAAATAGTAATTGGATGATCACCGAAACCTCATTTACTAAATACTAACGAAGGCCCTACCCCCTGCTAGAAAGAAAGAGAAACTTGGAGTTAAGCTTACAGATTGAGGTTCAAAACTTGATCTTAACCCCCAGTAGGAACAATAGTCTTTGTATAAATCTTGAAAAGTCATGGTCGATGTTTATCCTCTAATGCTTGTAGCTCTAAGTCATGTCATACGATTGAATATATGCACTTTCATTGATCAAACAACAATTTTTTAAGCTGCTGGGTATTAGTCCCTGAAGTTGCTTCAAACTAATTGATACAGTTGGGCTAATTAAACGAGAAAGAACAACACCAAACATATACTCGATAAAAAATTCTGACCCAAAATTATGGTGGAAGCTCTTGAACCTCCAATCTTTCCCTGAATATCCACTGACCGATCTTCCGTTTGTTCTATGTTCAGTTGCTCCTTCAACGAAAAAAATCAATAAATAAATAAAGCAAGAAAGGGGGAAAGAAACGATAACCAAGAAGCAATTCCAATTCAAGAGAGGTGTTTTCCTATTTCTCCTAATCAAGAAAAAGTGAAAAGCCCATCAGCTTCATCTGAAGAAAGAAACGATCAGTTGGTTTTCAGCTGGAGGAGTACAGTCATACTGTGGCAAACCCAACTGTACCTTTAATGAAGGTTGCTTAGGATTAGCCCCATACCAAATTGAAGTTTAATTAAGCTCTTAATCAGAAAGTGTAGAAAAGCATGACTTTCTTTGGTATTGGGAAGCAAATGTATTACCTCTTTGTTTAGAAAAGGAGTGGTTTCTCCTCTCTCCGACGAACCCAGATGAACTAAACCTTCTTCCATGGATGATGGAGCCACCCCTTTCTCTTTGCAAATCCCAGCCAACTCAGACCATCAAAGAACGGGCTTTGTCAAGTTAGACGAGGGAATGATCGAATTGATCGACCAAATGAATGAGGAAAAAGCATTATTTGATGAAAATGTTGGAAGCAAATCTGGAGCACGAGAGGCACGTTGACTTTCATTGCAAACTGTAAGGAAGAAGCACGTCACACGTGGACTTTAATAGTAGTAGAGTACACGTGCATTCCTTCACTCATGTTGGAACCGTGTTGGACAGCTTTTTTTTACTTTTGGTTATGAGCAAATCCCAACTCGGCCATGGGAGGGCAGAGAGATAAGTCACCTGTGAGAGTCTTGATCTGCTCTTAACAAAATACATTCCAGTCTCAGTCTCACGGTGACATGTGTGTGATCAAATAATGTTGGAAGCGTATTGGAATGGATTTTGTTGGGAGCAGCTCGAATTTAATAAGGGTTATGGCTCTTAGCAAAATACATTCCAGTCTGGGTCTCACAGTGACATGTGTGTTATCAAATCATGTTGGAAGTGTATTGGAATGGATTTTAATTTGTTAGGAGCAAATCTAATTTAATAAGGGTTATGGCTCGAGCTCACCATAAGACTCGACAAGCGTGGGCAGGAGTTCCGGAATCTATATACACACACTAAACTATAGTAGTTTATAAATTTTCTCTTTTTCTCTTTTTTATTTTTCTAGGAAATTGTTTAAAATCCACTAATCACTTTTTATGAATTCTCTTAAACTCACTACAATTTTTCAAAACGTTCAAAACTTACCATGTTACTAACTTGATGTTAAATAGATTAATGGGAATCAACCCATTACCATTTTACCCTATATAGAAAAAATATAAATATATACCTATATATTTTAATATTCTAACTACAAAAACATGAAAAAAAGGAAAATGTTCAAAAAATATTTTCAAATATAAAATACATAAAAACACAGAAATTATAAAAAAATAAAAACTATAGAAATTGAAAACTAAATCAGAAAATAAAAATTGTAGAAAAACATAGAAATTGCAAATAAATAACAAAAATACAGAAAAATTTATAGATTGTAGAAAATAGAAAATTGTAAAAAACAGAAATTATAAAAAAGCATTAGAAAATATAGCAAAACACTAAAAATGCAAAAAAAAACAAGAAAATTGAAAACTAAACAAGACAAAAGAAACTTGAAAAATATAAAGATTGGATAAAAACATAAATTGCAAATATACATAAAATGATAAAATCTCAAAAATTATATATTATATAAGAAAGTAAAAAATTGTAAAAAAACACAAGAAAGTGATAAAATTTTCAAAAAGATAATAAAAAACCACACAAAAATACATAAAATGATAAAAATTTAAAAATATCAACTAAAAAAAGCAAAAATAAAAAAAAAGATTTTTTTAATTATATATTTTAGAAAAAATAAAAAATGAAAACAAACTAATAAAATCATAAAAATTTTCAAAAAATTAAACAAAAATTAGACATTAAATCCGAAGATTGTTGCAACAAATTTTCAAAAAATTTTTTAGACAATCATATAAATAATTACAAAAATATTTTTTGCATAAATTTGTAGAACCCTCGATGGGGATTTACATTCGAGATTCAAAAGAATGCATTGCAAATGTTTCAAAACATCAAAAATCTTTGAAATTTATGATCATCTTCTTTCAAATCTTCAAACCAATAGATCGTTTTCTTCAAGATCTGAGTGAGAGAGAAGGTGCTACGGTGGCAACAAGATCTGAGCAAGAGAGAGGGTGGTGCGACACCTTCAAGAATGAGAGAGAAGGTGGTGTGGTGGCCAGATCTGAGCAAGAGAGAGGGTGATGCAGTGACTACCTTCAAGATCTGAGCAAGAGAAGGTGGTGCAACGACCAAATCTGAGTGAAAGAGAGGGTGATGCAATGATTACCTTTAATATCTGAGCGAGAGAAGGTGGTGTGGCAACCAGATCTGAGTGAGGGAGAGGGTGATGTAGTGATTACCTTCAAGATYTGAGCAAGAGAAGGTGGTGCGACATCCAGATATGAGCGAAAGAGAGGGTGATGCAGTGATTACCTTCAAGATCTGAGCAAAAGAAGGTGGTGCGGCTACCAAATCTGAGCGAGAGAGTGGGAGATGCAATGACTACCTTCAAGATCTGAGTGAGAAAAAATGGTGTGGTGGCTAAATCTAAGCAAGAGAGGTAGAGCAGAGAGAGAATTTCGGTCTAACCCTAACCTAAATGACCCTTTTCCCCTAATTCGCCATTCAAGGGTAATTTGGTCATGAAAAGTGTTATTTATGCTAACATGGCCATTTATGTTAAGAAACATTAACGGTGCACTAACGGAAGGTGAGTTTTGGAAAATAAAACTCATTTGACATTGTGAGTTTTGGACGTTTTCAAAAGTTGTGGTGAGTTTAAGAGAATTCATAAAAAGTGATGGTGGATTTTGGACAATTTCCCTTTTTTTTACTTCATGTCATTTTTTTAAACAACCAATGTGATGTTTTCCTTTCCCATAAAAAAATACTTGAAATCTCTTTCTCACACGTTCCCAATAACCTAAATAATATCCTCTCTTAAACTACCTCCCCCCACTACCCCCACTTTCTCCTAAATTATCTCTAATTCCTATTTCTCTCCTAAATTRTCTCTAATCCATTTTCATCCTCTCCCCACTTTTTATCTATATCTATCTAAAGAAAGTTTAAATTAAAAATTAAAAATTTATTTAAATATTCTAACAAAATCATATAATAACTTTAAAATATTTATTAAAAACACAAAAAATAATTACAATAGATTTAGGCCCCATTTGACATGTCTTTTTGCGTAGTTTGTCGGCTATTTACAAGCCTAGAAGACTACGATTCGGTCTTTTCCATTTGGTTTGTAGTAAATCCACCTATCAAAAGTCGATGCATCGAAAAGATGAGAGAAGCCCAAATCGGGTGATTTTCGGAAAGCTCCAAATGGAGCTTTTGCATTTTTTTTATTCTTTGCATGGAAAGATGCACAAAAAAACACACCTTAACCAAACGGGCTTTAGGCTACGTAGATCTTAATGCAAAAGCTCAATGCGTCTTTTGACTATAAGAGCTACTAGAAGATCTTCACAAAAAGACTTGCCAATAATACTCATATTATTAATAATTTTATATTTTTACAAAATTCATCATGAAATTATGTACTAACAATTTAAATTATAGTTTCCTAGATTATTCAATGTAAATGTTATTCAAATAAAAAAAAATCTAACAATAAACATTAAATTTCAAATATTTAATATTATGTGATGACTTTAAAAAATTTAAAATTCAAATAACAAGAAATTTTAAATATTTTACATAATATTTAAATATTTAAATAAACAAACAAAATATTTAACATAACTAGATTTTAAATAGTTAAAATAATGAAATTATGTAATGAATTAAAAAAATTCTTAAAACTAGAAAAATAATTACAATATAATATTCAAATTAATAATAACTTAATATTTTACAAAATTAATAACAAAATTATGTAATAATAGTATAAATTATAATTTTATGGATGATTAAATTCAATAAATAATTAATATTTTAAATTTAATTAATGATATTATTTAAATAATGAAATAATATTCTAAATAACTAATTTCAGTTATATAAATTAATAATTCTAGAAAATAACTTTAAGAAAAATTAATATTTATTAGTAATAATTTTAAAATCTTAATCTATATTTATTATATATTTATACATGCTAGAATTAATATTTACTGTATTTTAAATAATTATTTATTTTTTGTTCAATAATTATTATATTTATAAATCTATATTTGTTTTTTTTATTTAACAGAAAATTTTAAATAATTATAGGAGATTAAATGACCATTGTTTAACTTTTTAAATTTAATTTATTGTATTTTTGTTGTAATTTATTAATTAAAGTTTATTAGAGATTAAACTATTATTTGAGATTACACTATTTATTGATTAATTTAATACATTTTTTTAGCATTTATTGTATTTTTATTAGTTATTTATTGTATTTTCATTATCAATATATTTTCAATAGTTATGCATTTTCACTATAAATTTTCAATAATTATTAGAGATTAAACCTTTGTTATTTATTAGACTATTAATTTAGCTAAAATTGGGAGTTTTCATGGGTTGGTTTGGTTCGGTTGTAGGTTGTTTGGCCAACCAAATCGACCTAGTTAGGTTGGGGAGCTGGTCAATCAAAATCAATTGGCCAATTCGGCTTGTATCGTTTTGGGTTAACTTTTTGGTTTGGTCAGTTGGTTCAAAAGATTTAATTTAAAAAAATTACAGTGGCATTATTAAAAAATAAATTTATGATATAAAATATTCTAGACTTAGAAATATAGGAAAATTTTCACTCTCCCATATTAAAAAATTATATTAAAAATATAAAATATCAATATATATCTACAGTTGGTTGTTCGATTTTGTTCAATTAACAAATGACCAAAATGAAACTGATCAACCTAGTTGGGTTGGGGAATTGTTGAGTCAAACCAGACTAGAAATACTAGAAAACTGACCAACTTGGGTCAAGTTTGTCGGGTTGGTCGATTTTATCAGTTTGATGAACAACCCTAGCTTAAATTAATTATTGTTATTTTTGTATTGTAAAAATTATTAAAAGTAGTATATAAATATAATGAAAAATGTATGATGTGGAAAAGATATGGTATCAGAAGAGTTTTGACCAATTAAAATCCACCCATGAATTTTGATAAATAACACTTGATTGGCTACCTCATATGATACTTGTTGATTGGTCAAACCTAAAATATAAATAATTATTAATTATTTCAAAGTTAAAAATATAAAACAATTGTATACTCTTGTGTGTTTCTATTGTTTATCTTTTGCTTAACAAATCCCATGTATTGCACGGGTCCCCGCTAGTACTATATTTATAAAGCAAGGTTTTTCATGTTACATGGACTCTTGGACTCTCTTTTGCCTAACCCCTTCATACATTCTCCTTAATTCTCTCTCCCTTTCCTCTCCCACTACTTGGATGATACTTAGCCCATTCAACAAAGACTCACCCTACAATCAAAACACTACTAAATGATATTTTCATCTTTTGGTGCATATATTTCTTGCAGTAACTATGTGCAACTTGCTACATTGGGCCACATAATGGGGGTAGCCC